AGAACAGAACTAGAACAGAACTAGAACAGAACTAGACAGAACTAGAACAGAAACTAGAACAGAACTAGAACAGACCTATAACAGAACTAGAACAGAACTAGAACAGAATAGAACAGAACTAGAACAGAAATAGAACAGAAACTAGACTAGAACGCGAACTAGAACAGAACTAGAACAGAACTAGAACAGAACTAGAACAGAACTACGACTAGAACTAGAACAGATCAACAGAACTAGAACAGAACTAGAAACAGACCTAGAACAGAACTAGAACAGAACTAGAACAGAACTAGAACAGAACTAGACAGAACTAGAACAGAACTAGAACAGACTAGAACAGAACTAGAACAGAACTAGAACAGAACTAGAACAGAACTAGAACAGAACTAGAACAGAACTAGAAAAATACAGAAACTAGAACAGACTAGACAGAACTAGAACAGAACTAGAACAGAACTAGAAACAGAACTAGAACAGAACTAGAACAGAACTAGAACAGAACTAGAACAGAACTAGAACAGAACTAGAACAGAACTAGAACAGAACTAGAACTAGAACAGAACTAGAACTAGAACTAGAACTAGAACAGAACAGAACAGAACAGAACAGAACTAGAACTGAACTAGAACAGAACTAGAACAGAACTAGAACAGAACTAGAACAGAACTAGTTCTCCAATAACTTTCACCACTCCTTCCAATTTCTTAAAACAGAACAATTGAAATTTTTGCATTTAAATTTTTAATGAAATTTAATTAAATGTTCGCCTTAACGACTGGTACCGGTGATGTAGCCACCTCCTCATTCTTTCCCTCTCCTTTTTGTGCTCGTTTCTCTCATTATTATTTAACAAATTCTCTGCTTAAATTATTTGAAAATATTTACTCACTAAGTATACCTTCAAAAAATAAACATTTACTTGCCACTACTCTAAACGTTATAGACATTTCTGGAGTAGTTAGATACTCCACCTACATTACGTTATAATAATAATGATGATGTTAATGGCCGACACTGATAATAATGATATTTGCAATGATGATAATGATGTTGTTGTTGAACGGAAACTCTGAAACATCATTAGGAAATCCTCATTTTGAAAAAGTGTGTATTAAACTTTTCGCTTGTTTTAACAATTGCTCCCCGACTGCTAGTAGGGCAGACTGATTGGATGGATGGCTGTTTGGTGGTGGGATGACTGGATGGTTGGCTGGCTTGATGTTTGGTTGTATTGCGTTGGTTAGCGTTTGCTGGTGCTTAGATAAATGGTATTGACAGCAATAATTTTACTTCGGGCAAGCAATTAAAATTACAAATTATTGCAGGAGCAAATATTTTGTAAATTTATTTACAATTAGGAAAGCTTTATGGGCATATAATGTTGGCTTTACAGTGGAACAAAGAAGGAACGAAAAAGCTCTTTAGCAGTAAGACAAGGTTATTTTGAAATCTACAAGCTTTTTTACCTTGTAAGCCTTTATTTTAAAGCTTTTATTGAAGAAGAGCTTTTTAAATTAATAACTTTAATACATGGTAAAGCTTTCTTACCCCTAAAGTTCTTATTGTGTAATTATTTAGTTTTTTTAAAAAAAGCTTTTCCAGAATCCCTTGAAAACCTTAAAGTTTTGTTATTTCAAAGCTTTTATTATAAAAGACCTTAAATTGAGCTTTTAAAACTTAAGTTTTCCAATAAATATTTCCAATCAATCTAAAAATCATCTAAAATATTAAAGCTTTTGTCCTAAACTCTTTTTTTGATAAAGCTTTTTGCATTAAAGCTTTTCATTACATAATCACCATAAATTCAAATTCCTTTTCAATACCTCTGAACTCCCTTCCTTTTCAATTATTATTATTTAATTTGTTCCTGCTGTTTAGCCTAAAGCTTTTCCCTTTATTCCAACTTTTTAAACAATAGCTCTTTTCTTTGTTTAAAATATCAGAGAAAGTGTTCAATTTAAAGGAATAAAAGAATTTCTTACTTATAATTTCCAGCTTTTGTTAGTTTTTCATGTGATTTTTGCTCCCTCTTCTAGGCAGGACGTACATGTTGTGAATCGAGTGAGTCAGTGTATTTCTGCAGGAATACAAAACAAATTGTTCGTTGATATTTTTCGTTCATTGTTATTAAATACCAGTCGTGATTAATATTCTCGGTGTTTTTGTTATTTTTTAGTTTATTATTGTTATCCTTGTTTTGTATCGACGTTATGTTGTCTGTGTGTTGGTGTGTTTCATTTTAAAAACACACAAACTAAATAGCTTTGTTAGAATTTCCGCTCATTTCCGTTTCATGTATAATAATGTATTTCTTACTACGGCTGTGTGTGTGTGTGGAGCTTTTTAATTGTTTCTCTGATAGAGTGTTAAAGTGTGGTCGAGACTCTTTCATCAGTTGGGTTGAAAAATTGAATTTTCATTTATTAAGTGTTCGCGTTTTAAACAAATATTTGGCATATTTTAAAAGGGAAATTACTAAAGGAAAGGTTAGAAAGTAAAAAGTTTTTTTTTGAAAACTGTATATATAAATGGTAAATAAGATTGCAAAAGATTTAAAGAAAATTGAAACAATTTGTGCAATTTAAAGTAGGCTTTTTAACACAAAGCTTTTCATTAGAAAAACTTAAAAGCTTTCAAGTTGAGGCAATGCCTTTTAATACATTATAATGAAACAGTTAATAATAAAAGCTTTGTCAGAACAATCATAATTAAAAGTTTCCAAAGCTTTTCAAGAAAGCCCTTTCCAAAAAAAGTTTTCTTAGAACTTTCTAAAAAAAGCTTAACTAATTCTTTGAAGCTTAATGTTTTACAAAAGAGAAAGAAGAAAGAAAATCTTGAATAAAAACTTTCTAAGAACAAGCACAATTTCAAGTTTATAAAGCTTTTCATGAAAGCGCTAATTATTTGCATCTATAATCTTAATGTTTTAGAAAAAAGAATAAAAACTTTCCTAGAAAATAAATATATAAGAAAGAATCCTTTAAAGGTATTCCAAAAAAAGTTTAAAAAATATTTTACAATAAAAGATTTAAAAAAATGGTATAAAATTTTTCTAAGAAAAAACTTAAGAAAAGCTTCTAAAGAAGAAACTTAATTAATTATAAAGCTTTCTTAAAAGAAGCTTACCTATTTATTATAGAATTTTTTAAAAACATTCAAAGACAAATCTTTTCAAATATTTCAGCATAAAAGCTTACTACAAAAAAGTTTAGTAAATGCACTCCTATTCCAAGCTTAATAAAAGGTTGTTTTTGGAAAATACTTTCTATACAGATTTGTAAAAGTTTTCTAGAAATAAAAGCTTTCTAAGAAAAAAACTTACTAAAAGCTTCCTAAGATAAAGCTTAAGAAAGTAAATGTTTTATACATATTAATAAAAGCTTTCAAAGAAAAAGTTTATTTAATGCTTTCTTAAAAGATGCTTAAAAGCTTTTGAAGTCATAAATCTTTTAACAAAAAAACTAAAGTTAGCATAAAAGCTTTTTAGCAGAAAATATTCAATAGTTATTAACGAACTCGAACAAAAGCTTTAAGAGAAACTTCTCCATACTTGAAAAGCTTTCTTAGAGAAAGTTTAATAAAATATTTCTTAAAAATCTAACGAAGAGAAACCTTTTATACTGATTTGGAAAAACTATATGGTAAAAGTTTAACAAAAAGATTTCCAATAAAAACTTATGAAAATAAAAGTTTTATACAGATTTCTAAAAGCTTTGTGGTAGAAATTAATAAAAGCTTTCTCAGAAAAGGTAAAACAAAAGATTTAACAAAAAAATCCTAACAAAAGATTTCTAAGAAAAAGCTTAAAAACCTTCGTAAGCAAAAGTTTATTTCTAAGAAAAGGCATAGTAAAAGCTTTTTAAAAATAAACTTTATAAAGGCTTTCCAAGAAAATTAACATTTTCTAAGAAGGGGGTTATTTAAACTTCTTAAGAAATTCTTAATAAAAAGCTTAATAAAAGCTTTCTACGAAAAAATAATAAAACTTATGAAGAAGCTTAAATAAGCTTTCTAATGATATCTTAATACAAGTATTCCAAGAAAGCTTCGTAAGAAAAAGTTTATTAAGATTTTTTTTATAAGAATAAACTTAATAAAAGCTTTCCAAGAAAAATCTTAAGAAAACACTTTCTTAGAAATTTATAGCAGCTTTCTAAGAAAAGTCATAATAAAAGCTTTCTAAAAAATAAACTTAATAAAAATCTTTCCAAGAAATGAAACATTTTCTAAGAAAGGGGTTGTATAAGCTTTCTTAAGAAAAAGCTTAATAAACTTAATAAAATATATGAGGAGACTTAAAAAAGCTTTCTAAAGGTATCTTAACACAAGTACATATTCTAAGAAGAAGTATAATAAATAAAGAAAAAACTTAACAAAAGCTTCGTAAGAAAAAGTTTATTAAGATTTTCAAAGAATAAACTTATTAAAAGCTTTCCAAGAAAACGCTTTCTTAGAAATTAACGAAAGCTTTCTAAAAAAATCATAAAAAAGCTTTCTAAAAATAAACTTAATAAAAGTTTTCCAAAAAATGCAAAATTTTTTATGAAAAGGGTACAAGGTTTTTAAGGCATTCTTAAGAAAAAGCTTAGTAAAAGCTTTCTACGAAAAAAATATTTTCAAGAAAAAACTTAATAAAAGCTATCAAAGAAAAGTCTTAATAAATGATTTCTAAGAAAAACTTAATAAGAGCCTTTTTAGAAATATCTTAAAACAGGTATTCTAAGAAAAAGCTTAATAAAAGCTCACTGAGAAAAAAAAGAAGAACTTTTAAAAATAATTTAAGTAAAAGCTTTTTTATGAGAACATAAACTCACAATGGGATAACACTTGAAAATTTCTTGCATGTTTTACTATTAAAAGCTTTTAATAAACTATTAAATTCAATGCAAATAATTTTTCGGTAAAACTTGTTTCAGGGTTTTCTAGCAAAAAAGTTTAATAAACGAATTCGAACAAAAGCCTTAATCAAAGCTTTTGAACCAACAACAAACCTAAATTTCGTAAAAACTTTTTTTAAAAATATTTATTTTCTTTTTCATCAACTCTCCAAAAAAAGCACAAAAACGTTACAGAATAAACATGCCTAAAACTATAATATAAAAACGTATTACATAATTTTCACATAATTAGTAAAAATTAAGCTTACACACAAAAAAAAACATCAGATTTAATTGACCAAACGATATTTGATGGCGCGCAAAATGGGATATTTGTCACCGGTGCAAAGGCCACGGAAATCATCATAAGACAAGTCGTACAAAGCAATACCGCCCAAATTATGATTCTTAGCATAGGCAGCCTTATCAGCAGCAGTATCGGGATCTTCATAAGAAACCCAAACACCATTCTTGCCCTTTTTGTCGGCAGCTCTGAAGGCATAAACACCACTGCGGCGTGCAGGATCAGAAACTTTTCTCAAAGGAGCATCAGCACCCTTGGCATACATGTTATTGGCATTGGGCAACAAAGAGCAGGTTTCTTGCCAGCTATACAAGCCCAAAGTTTGAGTGTTAACACCCAAAGGAGCATCATTTTCAACTTTAGCTACAGGGGGTACACCAGTATCTCCAGAATCTTCAGTCAATTTCCAGGGACGGCCATAGGTGCTGACACCTAAATTGATTTTCTTCGAGGGGCAGCCATTACGCAACCAGAATTGTACCTGATAATCAGCATTGAATTCAGGATTACGATCAGCCATGGGATACAAGGGAGCGGTAATATCAGCCAATTCATGATTACGTTCGGGCGTATAGAAATCGAAGGCAGCCAAGTTAACAAAGTCAACATAGTTAACCAAGGCGGGAATATCGTAGAACACTGAAATTTTTAACACCTAATTAGCTTTCTATATATAAATTCGTTTCCCAAAACAACTTACATGAAGAGTTAACATTGGGCAAGACAGTGGTAGACAACAAAAAGTTATCAGGTCTCAATTCATTTTTCAAATCACGCATAAGAGCAGTAAATTGTTCCTTATGCATTTCCGAGTTTTCATCTACAATATGATCACCGGTAAAGACTTTCTTGAAACCCTTCCAGAAACTACCCAAACCACTGTGCACCTTCTTGGGCTTATTCTTGGGGAATTGCCAAGCAATATCCAAACCATCAAAACCATAAGTCTTTACTAAAGCATAGGCGGTGTTAATGAAACGCATGCGACCAGTAGGATTTTCCAACAATTCCAAATATTTGTTGGGCAAATCCTTAGCATCTTCACTAGTTTCGATATCCTTGTCACCACCCACGCTCAACATAACCTTAACATTGGGATATTTACGCTTTAGACGGGTCAATGTACGATACAAACCCTTGCCCAAATCCAAATCCAAATTTTGATTGGTACTCAAAGCTTTGAAGGAATCACGTTCAATGCCAGCATAACCGTAGACGACATAGGTACAGAATTGGAAGGCGGGTTCTAAGTCGTCAATGATAAGTTTAGCCAAACCTGGAAATGAAAAGAATCAGGATTAAAATGGTGATCTATAGAAAAATAAGGAAAAGCATAATTTAAGCTTTCTGTGAAAAACTTTAATGAAAGCTTTGCAATAAAGCAGTTAAATAATAAGAGAATATTAAATGCTTTTTAAGCAAAAGTTATTAAAATATCGTTTACAAAAAACCTTTCGCAGAAAAAGCTTTTTAACAGAAATCTTATAATAAGCATTTTAGGAAACAAATTTTTAAAGCTTTAAAAAAAACTTATTAAAATATTTTTAAGAATATAAAAGCATGTTATGGAAAAGTTATTGAGAGCTTTTTCATAAAGCTCATTAGGATTTTTTATGATAAAGCGTATTAAAAGCTTTATGTGAAAAAGCTTATTAAAAGCCTTATGTAAAAAGGTTATATTTAAGCTCATATTTAAATATTTTTATGAAATAGCTAATTCAAAGCATTTTATGAAAAAGCTTTTTGAAAGCTTTTTTTGTAAAAAAATTATTAAAAAGCACATTAAAAGCCTTTAGTGAAAAAACGTAATAAAAGCTTTTAGTGAAAAAGCTTTTTAAAAGCTTTTTTTGTAAAAAGTTTATTAAGTCCTTAGGGAAAAACTTATTAAAAGCTTTTAGTGAAAAAGCTTATTAAAAGCTTTTGGTGAAAAACCGCATTAAGAGGTTTTTAGCTTTTGAAGCTTTTGAAAAACTATCTATTAAAAAAGCTTAATAAGAACTTTTAATTGAGAAAACTTATTACAATATTTTTTTGGAAAAGCTTTGTTAGAAAACCCTTATTAAAAGAAAAAGCTACGTTAGAAATAGATTATTAAAAGCTTTATTAAAAACGTATTAAAAGTTTTAAATGATAAACCGTATTAAGGCCTTTTATAAAAAATCTTATAAAACCCTTTTTATTAAAAAAGCTTATAAAAAGCTTTTATACAATTTTTTTTGGAAAAGCTTTGTTAGAAAAAGATTATTAAAAGCTTTTTAAGAGCTTTCCGAGGAAAATATTTTATTTAAATATGTATATTATCTTCACAAAGCAACCCTATATGTCCTACTTTCTGACTAATCTTTTTTAACAATCTCTTTAGTTTTAATTTAATAACAAAAGCCTTGAATTATTAAATATTTTTCAATTATTAAAAAACAAACATAATTTCTATGATTTCAACAAAAGCAAAACTCCCCTTTGATTTGTTGTTTTGTGCAACTTTTTGAGAAAAAAATGTTTATAAAACTAATTTTTTTTTTTTTTTTTTGCTATTTATTATTGTTAAGTTACTTATTTCATTTTACGGCTTCTGTATAAATCATTTATAAGTTTTTGATAAAATAAAACTTTTAATGGTAAAGAGAGGAAATTGTGTAAAAAAAATGAAAACGAAATCCTAAAAGTACAGTTTTTTTCTTTGAGATATTAAAAGCAAATATAAAAGGGACCATTTCCTCAGGGTTAGCAAATAAAAAGGAGCTTGAGGATGAAAGCTATTATTTATTTAATACTTTAATTTACAAATGAAAAATTCAATGACTTATAACTTTTTACTAGACTACAGTGCAGACTATAGACTAGATTGTAGTCCAGACTACAGACCTAGACCACAGTCCAACTATCGTCGAGTCAAGACTATATACGAGACTATAATCCATACTATAGACTAGACTATATTCCAGACTATAGACGAGACTATAATCCAGAGTAGACTATAGACTAGACTATAGACCAGACATAGTCTAGTCTATAGACTAGACTGTAGTCCAGAATATAGAATTGACTATAGTCTAGATTATAGGCCAGACTATAGACTAGTCTATAGGCCAGACTATAGACTAGGTTATAGTCCAGACTATAGACTAGGCTATAGTCCAGACTATAGACTAGGCTATAGTCCAGATTATAGACTAGGCTATAGTCCAGACTATAGACTAGACTATAGTCCAGACTATAGACTAGACTATAGTCCAGACTATAGACTATACTATAGTGCAGACTATAGACTAGACTATAGTCCAGACTATAGACTATACTATAGTCCAGACTATACACTAGACTATTGTCCAGACTATAGACTAAACTATAGTCCAGACTATAGACTAAACTATATTCCAGACTATAGACTAAACTATAGTCCACACTATAGACTAAACTATAGTCCACACTATTTACTAAACTATAGTCCACACTATAGACTATATTATTATAGTCTAATCTATAGTCTAGTCTATAGTCTGGACTATAGTATAGTCTAGACTAGGTTATAGTCCAGACTATAGACTAGGCTATAGTCCAGACTATAGACTAGGCTATAGTCCAGATTATAGACTAGGCTATAGTCCAGACTATAGACTAGACTATAGTCCAGACTATAGACTAGACTATAGTCCAGACTATAGACTATATTATAGTGCAGACTATAGACTAGACTATAGTCCAGACTATAGACTATACTATAGTCCAGACTATACACTAGACTATTGTCCAGACTATAGACTAAACTATAGTCCAGACTATAGACTAAACTATATTCCAGACTATAGACTAAACTATAGTCCACACTATAGACTAAACTATAGTCCACACTATTTACTAAACTATAGTCCACACTATAGACTATATTATTATAGTCTAGTCTATAGTCTAAACTATAGTCTAGTCTATAGTCTGGACTATAATCAATTCTATATTCTGGACTACAGTCTAGTCTATAGTCAGGGCTATAGTCTATAGTCTGGACTATAGCCTAGTATATAGTTTGGACTACAGCCTAGTCTATAGTCGGAACCATAGCCTAGACTATATTCTGGACTATAGTTAATTCTATATTCTTTACTACAGTCTAGTCTACAGTCTGGGCTATTGTCTAGGCTATAGTCCAGACTATAGACTAGGCTATAGTCCAGACTATAGACTAGACTGTAGTCCAGAATATAGAATTGACTATAGGCCAGAATATAGTGTAGGCTATAGTTCCGACTATAGATTAGGCTATAGTCCAGACTATAGACTAGACTATAGTCCAGGCTATAGACTAGACTATAGCCCAGACTATAGACTAGACTATAGACTAGACTATAGTTCAGACTATACACTAGACTATAGTCAGACTATAGACTATACTATAGTCCAGACTATAGACTATACTATAGTCCAGACTATAGACTAGACTATAGTCCAGACTATAGACTATACTATAGTCCAGACTATAGACTATACTATAGTCCAGACTATACACTAGACTATTGTCCAGAATATAGACTATAGACTAGACTATAGTCCAGACTACAGACTTGGCTATTGTCTAGGCTATAGAATAGGCTATTGACTAGACTATAGACTGGAGTAGACTATATACTAGACAATAGACTAGACTAAAGACTACGCTATACACTAGACTATAAACTAGTCCATAGTCCAGACTATAGACAGAACAGACTATAATCCACACTAGGCTAGATCTTTCTAATAGAGTGACAATACGTTACGGAAACTCCATGAAATTTATTTAATTACTTTTGTTTTATACCGCACTGTACTTATCGAATAACAAATGAAGAAAATCATGTTATCAGTTTAAATGTACAATTATTATTTTTTTAATTTCTTAAAACCGGAATATATTATGTTTTGAAGAAGACAAAATCATTTAAATAATTCTCAGAAATTGTGCTACATTATCTCTCCAAGTGCAAAATACTTTTATGTTCCCAGAAATATTAGCGCAAACACTTTACGAAACCCGCTTTAAATAGAAATATTTTTTTTTTACAATTTCTACTTAAAAAATCTCACACTTTCAGAGGATGTCATTTACAATTATAATATTTAGCTGTTTTCTCTCACTTGCAATCTAAAATAATTAGTAGCAATTAACACAATTTTGTCTCATTTTCCCTAGAATTTTAATAATTTATTTTTGTTTTCAACTACAACCAGTAAATTACGCAATACTTTGAACTAAAATTAAAAGCAACAAAAAACCAAAGTCTTATCAATTTCCAGAAGAATTTAGATGCCCCACTCTTAAACACAAACAAACAAACAAACACATCAAAATTCAAGACACGTCGCCTATGCTTACCCTCTTTAATAAAACTGGAGGAATCATAATAGCAAACCAATTGTTTTTCGGGTACACCAGGCTTAGCGGGAGCACCGGTATTGGCCCAGGCCGAAGCCACCAAACAGATTAAAGAAAATACAAGGGAAATTTGCATTTTCGCTTGCTCTTAATTTTACACACTATAGATAATGATCACGATCACAGTCTAGAGTTAAGGTTTCGAAGACGATGTTTAAAGCTCGACGTTTTATTAAAGACTGACTTGTCTGTGAAGTACTTAAGTTTTGGGTAAAACTACAACTGAAGCTGAATAACAAAAATAAACTAGATTTGAGAGTGATCGTTGTTTATGATAATGATGTGGTGGCGGTGGCGATAATGATCAGCTTGAGAGCGACAGAGAGAGGCATTAGTGAGCGAGATTTTAACGGAGATTGAAGGCCGCTTAAAATAAAATTAAAATTTTTATTTAAAATGTTTGTTATTGTTGTCATTTTTAATAATTTATTTTTAGTATAATTCTTCAAATATACAAATGTCTTGTATATGCAAGTGATAGTGTTGAGTAAGTGAGAGGTAAATCAAAGTCACTGTCAGTGACTAATAGGGAAGATATAAGATCAAAGTTAATTACAGAAAATGACAGAACTTGCACGACTGACCAGACTATAGACTAGAATATAGTCCAGACTATGACCAGACTATAATCCCAGCTATAGACTACACAAAGGTCCAGAAAACAGGTTAGTCTATAGTCTAGTCTATAGACTAGACTATAGACTAGACTATAGACTAGACTATAGACTAGACTATAGACTAGACTATAGACTAGACTATAGACTAGACTATAGACTAGACTATAGACTAGACTATAGACTAGACTATAGACTAGACTATAGACTAGACTATAGACTAGACTATAGACTAGACTAGACTAGACTATAGACTAACTATAGACTAGACTATAGACTAGACTATAGACTAGACTATAGACTAGACTAAGACTAGACTATAGACTAGACTATAGACTAGACTACTAGACTAGACTATAGACTAGACTATAGACTAGACTATAGACTAGACTATAGACTAGACTATAGACTAGACTATAGACTAGACTATAGACTAGACTATAGACTAGACTATAGACTAGACTATAGACTAGACTATAGACTAGACTATAGACTAGACTATAGACTAGACTATAGACTAGACTATAGACTAGACTATAGACTAGACTATAGACTAGACTATAGACTAGACTATAGACTAGACTATAGACTAGACTATAGACTAGACTATAGACTAGACTATAGACTAGACTATAGACTAGACTATAGACTAGACTATAGACTAGACTATAGACTAGACTATAGACTAGACTATAGACTAGACTATAGACTAGACTATAGACTAGACTATAGACTAGACTATAGACTAGACTATAGACTAGACTATAGACTAGACTATAGACTAGACTATAGACTAGACTATAGACTAGACTATAGACTAGACTATAGACTAGACTATAGACTAGACTATAGACTAGACTATAGACTAGACTATAGACTAGACTATAGACTAGACTATAGACTAGACTATAGACTAGACTATAGACTAGACTATAGACTAGACTATAGACTAGACTATAGACTAGACTATAGACTAGACTATAGACTAGACTATAGACTAGACTATAGACTAGACTATAGACTAGACTATAGACTAGACTATAGACTAGACTATAGACTAGACTATAGACTAGACTATAGACTAGACTATAGACTAGACTATAGACTAGACTATAGACTAGACTATAGACTAGACTATAGACTAGACTATAGACTAGACTATAGACTAGACTATAGACTAGACTATAGACTAGACTATAGACTAGACTATAGACTAGACTATAGACTAGACTATAGACTAGACTATAGACTAGACTATAGACTAGACTATAGACTAGACTATAGACTAGACTATAGACTAGACTATAGACTAGACTATAGACTAGACTATAGACTAGACTATAGACTAGACTATAGACTAGACTATAGCTAGACTAGACTATAGATTAGACTATAGATTAGACTATAGACTAGACTATAGATTAGACTATAGACTAGACTATAGACTAGACTATAGATTAGACTATAGGCTAGACTATAGACTAGACTATAGATTAGACTATAGACTAGACTATAGATGAGACTATAGACTAGACTATAGATTAGACTATAGACTAGACTAGACTATAGACTAGACTAGACTATAGACTAGACTAGACTAGACTAGACTAGACTAGACTAGACTAGACTAGACTAGACTAGACTAGACTATAGACTAGACTATAGACTAGACTATAGACTATACTATAGACTAGACTATAGACTAGACTATAGACTAGACTATAGACTAGACTATAGACTAGATTATAGACTAGACTATAGACTAGACTATAGACTAGACTATAGATTAGACTATAGACTAGACTATAGACTAGACTATAGACTAGACTATAGACTAGACTATAGACTAGACTAGACTATAGACTAGACTATAGACTAGACTATAGACTAGACTAGACTAGACTAGACTAGACTAGACTAGACTATAGACTAGACTAGACTAGACTAGACTAGACTAGACTAGACTAGACTAGACTAGACTAGACTAGACTAGACTAGACTAGACTAGACTATAGACTAGACTATAGACTAGACTATAGACTAGACTATAGACTAGACTATAGACTAGACTATAGACTAGACTATAGACTAGACTATAGACTAGACTATAGACTAGACTATAGACTAGACTATAGACTAGACTATAGACTAGACTATAGACTAGACTATAGACTAGACTATAGACTAGACTATAGACTAGACTATAGACTAGACTATAGACTAGACTATAGACTAGACTATAGACTAGACTATAGACTAGACTATAGACTAGACTATAGACTAGACTATAGACTAGACTATAGACTAGACTATAGACTAGACTATAGACTAGACTATAGACTAGACTAGACTAGACTATAGACTAGACTATAGACTAGACTATACACTAGACTATAGACTAGACTATAGGCTAGACTCTACACTAGACTATAGACTAGACTAGACTATATACTAGACTATAGACTAGACTTTAGACTAGACTATGGACTAGACTATAGACTTGACCATAGTCTAGTCTATAGACTAGACTATAGACTAGACTATAGACTAGACTATAGACTAGACTATAGACTAGACTATAGATTAGACTATAGGCTAGACTATAGATTAAACTATAGGCTAGACTATAGGCTAGACTATAGACTAGTCTATAGACTAGACTAGGTCATAATATAGCCAAGACTGTAGGCAATACTTTTTAGACAAGGTTTAGTCCACAGACTATAGACTAGACTTTAGACTAGACTATGGACTAGACTATAGACTTGACCATAGTCTAGTCTATAGACTAGTCTATAGACTAGACTATAGACTAGACTATAGATTAGACTATAGGCTAGACTATAGATTAAACTATAGGCTAGACTATAGGCTAGACTATAGACTAGTCTATAGACTAGACTAGGTCATAATATAGCCAAGACTGTAGGCAATACTTTTTAGACAAGGTTTAGTCCACAGTATATGGCAATTTGTCTATAGTAGACCAGATTATGAAATAGACTTTACTACCAGTTATAGACATAATCACTAACTAGACTGGAGTTTACAAGTACTTTTGGAGTAAAAGGGGACCATTATAGGTCTTTATTTGAAATCTATATTTGCAAAATTTTCAATTATAAAAACATCAAAAAACTTTTAAATAAATTACGAACGAAAAAATAGAGAAACGGACAAAAATGTAAATATCCAAATAATAAATAAAACATTTGGCAAAAACAACAACAATAATACTCTAGTAATAAATAATGACAATGGCAGTAGAAGAAAATATGTATTTCGAGTAACCCAGCAAAACATAATGGTGGCAGCTTAAATCATTGAAGAATACAACAAATTAATATTATTAACAGTGTGATAATATATTTAGTTTTCTGCAAGTGTTCCATTAAATCTTTAATTAATTTTTCTTCAGTAGTTGTAAACACTTTGCTGGGATTTGAGTTCTATCTAACTTAAGATGTATAACGTGAAGAAGAGGTCATCAATAAGTCTGTCTATTCTAGTATTTGAATTGATTCAAAATCTTTTATTTATATTCGAAAAATGTACATGACCAACAGTAGTTTATGTATTTGTGAAAATACTAAGTGTGCGTATGTGAGTGACATACATAAATAAATAATTGAATCCTAAAACAAAAATAAGTAATAAATAATATGGAGGAACATGTTCCATCCGATAACACCCTACATAAGCTATTAGAATATTTAAAATGATTTTCGAAAAACATAAGATCGTGGGGTCTATTATCGACTCTTGCTTAGAAAGCTCAATGCAATGAGTTGTATTCTTTTCTATTCTCTACAATATTATCTTAAATGGACGACAATCTAAAGATCGTCTATAGATTAGTAAATATTGCAAGCACCAGCTCAAACCCCCAATACCATCTCCCTCTATAGTGGTGTAGGGCATCGCAAACAATAACAACAAAATAATAAAATAAAATACATCAAATATTGATAACTTATCATGGATGAATTAGAGTCTTAACTCTATATATGTGTGTGGGTCTGTGCTATTAAAATATTCTTGATTTTCTCCCTACTTCTAAATCAATCGATTGGGTTTCTTGCGAGAAGAAAAAAAAATCCCACAGTAGTCGAAAAAAAAACAATATAAATAAGTAAATCGAAAACAATAAATAAAACAAATTTAAACAGAACAAATAGTAATAAAAATCAAAATAAATCCCCTCACGATTCAATCTTCTCAAAAACATCTTCATCGTTTACAGTGACAGACTGACTGCTAGAGTTTACTCGAACACACTGATAACAAGCAAGATGATGAGTTTATGTTGGTGATGGACGAGTGACAAAGTATAAAATTGTGAAATATCTTGATTGCATGATAATTTTTTCGGCCGAAAGTCTAGTCACAGTTTAGTGTACTGTCCGAACTATAGTCTAGTATATAGTGTGGACTATATTCTAGTCTATAGTGTGGACTACGGTCTAGTCTATAATGTAGTCTATACTCTAGTCTATAGTGTAGTCTATAGTCTAGTCTTTAGTCTAGTCTATAGTCTAGCCTATAGTCTAGCCTATAGTCTAGTATAGTCTAGTATAGTCTATAGTCTAGTCTATAGTCTAGTCTATAGTCTA